TATTAAAGCCTAAAAACCCAACACAGAATGGTTGACTACATCAAAGGTGAATGATTTGATGTAGTTATTGATAGGGAGCAAGAAAAAAAAGCTATGGTAAGAGATATAGGAAGCTTTCCTTTTTCACCCATTGCTTTAAAAAATACTACTTGGCCATTGCACAGTATTACCTTATATGTTAATATAAGCCTAGCATTTCATCTGGAGAGATCATGACAAAAAATGGTAAATTACTAAAGCTGCTACTTGACAAAATGATGCAACAGATCTGCATCACTATAGCACTGTAACTCTTAAATCTTGGTATATATAAGATATAGCACAAATCCCACATTCACAAAACAAAGCTTCACTGAAAAATTACCATGGAAAAAGATCAGTTGAGCACTCTGAAGTAAAAAGGAAAAACAGTAAAATCTGTCACCTTATAGTTTTTCTAGTTCTGGTTTCTGTGGTTTATGATATTTGCCAAACATTCAGTCATGACTCCCTGGCTTGTACGAAGTAGTTTCCCACCCAAGCACAAAGCAGCTGCAGATCTCTTTGATTCTGAAATCAGATGATATGTAGTACATTAGTACTGTAGACTTCAATCAAAGTAATAGCCACAAAATATGAGACATTTGTATGACAGGATTATATAAAGCCCAATGCCTGAGGAGTAAACTTGGGTGCTTGCTCCAGGAGTTACCTCAGTGTTTTCTTAGAGAAACAAATGAAGAAACGTACAACAGTTAGTTTCAGTATACACACACACACACACACACACATATATTTCATTAAAATAACTGGGAACTATTATTTCATTTTCAGCAATGATTGATGAATTATTTTTTCTTCAATTTCTGAGTGAGGATTTTGAGCAAGGTATTAATGCTGACTAATTTTAGGTGCCAAGAGGTCAGACACAAGAGAATTGTGTCATTAAACTTCCTCTGTAGCCCATGAAGGGAGCAGCCCCCTCACAGGGAAAAAAAATCAGAGATAAAAATTAATTTATGTACTCGGGAAGAGCTTTGGTATCTTTGACCCGTGACAGGGAAAATATSCCTAGGCTTTGTCTCCGCAAAGGCAAGGATCAGTAGCAGAAATTCACCTCAGAATGCTTTCTAACAAATTTGCGGTGATATTCTGAAAAGATCTACTTAATCTGAAAATATCTACTTATATTTTGCTGAATTTTATTTTGTAGGTAATAATGTATTTCAAATATTAATTACATTAAGTAATCAAATCATCTCTAAAAATACTTCTATTATTTCCAGTAGATGGCAGCAATAGTATTTAAAAATTGGTATTCATAAATCTATATTAAATATGAAAGCACTGTCCCTTGTGAAACAAAACAAAATGCATTACAAGCTATTCACAAAGAAAATGTTCATCTTATGCAGAAAAGAGTATGCACAAAAAGAGTTAAGAATGTTCAAATCTAACTGACACAAATATTTTTGGATTCACTATCTTATAAAAAAAGATTTAATTCCTTGCAGTTTGGATGTTTTTTTCTATATTCAATAGTTGGTAAACATATATAGCATTAGCATATAGAAAGTCTCTCTCTATATATACTAGAAACATCTAAGCTCTGATAACACACTGAAAGCACTGTTAAGCTAAGCTTCCTGTCAGTTATTCTTTCTCCTTAGCAACCAAAATGATCGGCCTTAAGCAGCTTTTCCTCCCTCCTGCCATTTTACTGGCCTAATTTCAATCTTATCTTTCGCTTTTCTGACTGCTTTTCTCTATCCTAGTTTCTTGTATGAAAATTAAGTTTCAAGCTGTGCTCTGCTTGCAATGACCTGCAGGACAGGACACTGCTGAAAAGAGGTTTCAACCTCAAATATCGGTTTGCCAAGACCTGGAACCCTATGGTCAGAGGAAGCAGATTTTCTTTGATACACATAAACTCACGGTTTCTGTCTCTATTTTAGATCCTGGGAATCAGGGTAGTCTGCTGAGTGCTGGACAATTTCACCATAAAACATCAAATGTATCAAAAAGGTCAACCTATTAAATTAATTCATATTTACAAGTTCTGCTGCATTTCTTGCATCTTTTAACCCCCAGAAATTTTTGCAAAGGCTGAAGAGACCTGGTTCCCACTATTGCAGAGGCACTCCTAGAGCAGTAGTTCTGGTTCAGGCAGGTCACACTGAATAGCAGTCACCACTAACAAATGTCTTCTCTACTTTGGAGTTCAACTTCAGACCCTGATTTCTGGTAATCAACTCTCTTTTGCTGAACTTCACACTTAAGTGTTCTCAGCATTTGATAGAAGAACTTACCGTGTTCCAGGTACAAGCGGTCTTCATCCTGCTACTGTTCTTTTTAGCTCTGAAGACCAAATCTACAGAACCAAAGAACACAAGGATATTTTCTTTTGCAGGTGGTCTGAAAGGCCCATAAATTCCAGAGACTTAAAGGGGATTCTTTTTGCTAACCTTGCTTCCTCAAGCGACAGTCTGTCCTTTCTCTTTTCCCTCCTGGATCATCAGACCTTTCCATATAACAAGACTACCTTTCAATATCCTTATTGGGAATAAAAGAAAAAACAGGTTAATGAGACTTGTTAGAAAGGTCTCATTAAAATCACCACATCAGACTTTTAGTTTTCTTCTCTTGAGAGAAGAAGGACTCATTATTCTCCCAAACTGTGACATCTGGGTACCAATAGATTTAGAGGGGCTGGAACTCATGCAGCTTCCATGGTGCTCCATATTTTACCATCTCCTGGAAGTGATCTTGGAAGCCCTTGAGAACTCTGGCTATTGCCATTTTGACACACAGTATCTGTTCTCTTTCACCTGCCCACAGCATCATTCTTCCACCTGAGACAGGAGACATCTAAGATCCCTTACAGAACTGAGGCAAAAAATGCTACAGCATTCACAGAATAACAACAATTTACTCAGTCTGTTACTTCCCAACACACATCTCCAAATATCTTCCTATTTTTATTTTGTATAGTTGCTTCAAATCTGAGAAACCTTTTTCAGTCTATTGTGGTTCCTGGTAGAATCCCTGTCCTTGAAGAACCTCCCTGGATTGTTTCCTGAACACCCGTGTAACAACCCCTACAACAATGCAAAGAAACCCAAGCAGTACCTTTTTCATGTAACTTGGTAAAAGTCTACAGGGCCTGTCTCAATAGTGGCAGATGGTGGGTAACGTGTGAAATCGTAAGTAATTCTCTGCCTAAGAGCCACACAGGAGCCTATGCTTCCTGARCGGCTGCCCTATGCATCTGGTTGATCAACACAGCTTCTCAAATTCCAGTCTGCTGACCCTAAGGTTACTAATCACAACGATTACTGGTCTCTTTTTCACATGTTTATTCATTGAACTACTTTTCCTTTCTACTTTTAAACTGAATGGGAAAAAATCATTAAAACAGATGCTTCTTTGAAGTATTAGAATCTAAGCAAGCCAACAAAATCCAAAATGGAATTGCTATTCTTCAATTGGAAGGCTTATTCCTCAAGATGAATTGGAAAGAAAATCTTTTAAGCTCTACTAAACAAAATCTATAGCTGCGTGGATCTCAATGACAAAGCAGGACTGAACTAGTTAAAACTACAGTGTGTTGAATGTGATGCTCAGCAAGTTGTGAAATAAAAGTCAGTACATGAGAGTAAATTAGATCTGTGAGGTTCACTGACTGGTTGTTGGCTTTCTGCAATATCCCCAAAACACATCATCCTGATATCTTAGAAAAATATATATTTAGCAGAGATTTGAACCACAAGGAATCATCATAGGCAAGCTACTGATGGGATACTAATCTTTTGTTCCACCTTTTTGTTGAATTAAGCTTATAACAACATAAAAGTTTGGGAATGTGCTCAATTACCAAATGCAATGACTTATTTCTGCATCACTGTTTTACTTCTAGTAAACTACAGCTAAGTACCTACATCCATCAAAACCAAAACTTGGTCTGGTCATGACTGTTAAGTTTCACTGTGCTCACAGCTGAAATATTTTTGCAGTCTTCTTGCACAAACAAACCAAATAAAAAATATTAGAAGTCTTAAGTGATTTATTAAAATGCTTCCAGAAAAGCTTAAGGCTATTATTTTAAAAAAGTCCATACATACATTCTTTCTTTTCTTCCCTAGTTGAACACTTTACATGATCTTTTCTTTTTTTAATGATTTTGCTTAACAGGCTCTATGAAAATGTTTCGTCATTCAGTATGCTTTCCTACGCCTTTTCTTCTGTAAAATTTTCCTCTCTCATCTTCACTTCACATACTCATTCAGTTCTAAAAATGAAGCAGTTGAAATAAATTACAAAGCCTGAAACAGAAAAGAAAAAAAAAACCTTTTCTGAAAAACTATAAATACAGAAATATTTTCTATAGGGTAAAACCAACAAGCTTTTTTTGAAAAATAAAGAAATATAACTCATTTTATATTGTTTACCATGTTGTCACATTGATTTCTGTAACACACATCAGAATATATATATGCAAGATATTTGATATTTACTATTTCCTGTAAACTCATAGAACAAGAAATAAATGTATTTGGCAATAACTTAACAGTTTTACTACTTGTATTGTTACAAGTACTTTGCACAGGTTATCCTGTTTAATATGAAGAATCAATTAAAATTATTACTATATCAGTTTCATTGCATTCTAAATTACCATTCAGCAGTCTGGTAATATTTCTTATACAAGAAATAAAATATTACCAAGGGATTTCTGAAAAGGGACAGGATATTAAACTGAGCGTTTCAGTTTGCATTTTTCACTAATTCCTCATAATGAGTAGATTAAGTCAGACATAGGAAAACACAATGACATTTCCAATTACACATGAGACTGAATGCAAAAAAAAAAAAAAAACTTTAAAGAAAAATTCAACAAAAATATAAGGGGTGTAATAGATACCAAAGGAAAATCAGTTCCCTTTTTGTTGAAGCCTTCTCTACCTAATCCCGTAGGGCATTTGTAGAGCACCATTTATAGGAAATTGTTTTAAAACTGTAACTGTAAACAGTCATTTACAGAAACTTAATTGTTTTAAAATTACTTTAGTGGTATTGAAACCAAGAAGTCATCAGAGTGCAAAATGCTGAAGAGGGCCTATTCACAAGCAGAGGCTTCCTTAGTTTTTGTTCTTTTGGGGTAATAAAGATATATATGGCACTGAAGGAAAACTAGCAACTCATTTACAAATAGCTAGTATTTGCAGCATTTGATTTAATTCAGTGCTAACTGTAGCTTTTCAGTTGATTATTTTTAGCATTACGTGCTTTGATGATGGCATTATGCCACCTACTTTAACTGAACAGACTAATGTTGGTTAATGGTTTTTGGTTCAAGTTCTTCATTTTGAAAAACGAACCCCTTTAGAACCCATGGTTATATGGCCCGCCATCTATATTTCTAGCTCATTTAATCCAACAAGAGGGGCATAGGTTASTGAAAGATATTTTGCTTTCTCCCGGCCCTCCCCTCCCAAAAAAAAAAAAAATTTTCTTGTAGGCCTTTGTGAAAACTTATGATTTTGATAGCCATCCTGAAACCCTATATTAAGTCCATGTTATCAGCTGCAAGATTAAAGTGCAAATAAAGCACTTTACAAACTACAAAAAAAAMCCCACTATGTAATGCACAACTAAACAGTAGTTTAGAGATTCTGTTTACAGTAGGACTTTGAGAATAACTGGTCAAGTACCTCTTTCATCCACCTTAGATGTTTATGGAATATAATCACAGGATATGAGCTGCAAGAGACTCCAGCTTACACAGATTGGCAGATACAGTACTACACTCATAGGTACAAATACAAGGAGGACTGCGTTGACACTGTCACAAAGAATATTTCAAAAGTGCTTCTCCAAAGGGTTCCATGTATGGAATGCAAATACTGTACAGGTAAGACACAGGCTTTCTTCCATGAGCTTTAATTTTTGTCAAACATCAGTTTCTAATTGTTTTTCACTTTCACAAGAGTTTGTCTGTTCCATGCGTTCACAGTCGATGTTGTTCTCACTGGTGTCCATACAACAGTCTGACTCGCTGTCTGATTGGTCCATTTGCTCAAGGCTGGTTTCTCCCTGGGATACTCTGCTTCCATTTGGTGACAAAAGAAAATGTGCTTCCAAGTTCTGCACTCTGGCTTTTCCTGCACATGTAACCTTCTCTTTGGCCTGTCGGATACAGTTAAGCCACTGCTGTTTGTTGAAGGAGTCATTGGCTTGTAGTGAGTGAGACTGGCTTTGAGATCCACATTTGAAGCTGACTCTAAAGAAGTTTTTGACTGAAAGAAATAAAACATATCAAAATGCTGAATTAACTCTATAATAAAGGAGTATATTAAAATAACAGAATCTGAAAAATCTCTGACTTACTGTATTTTCTAGCCAATACAATGTCTGACCAGTAAGAAGAGTTTGGGTATCCCTGTTTTCTGTACAAATAGACAATACTAACACTTCTAATAAATTGCTTGTGCTGGATTAAATAATTTTGAACCTGCCAAGTGCAAACTACTTAGTAGAGCCTCAAGTGAATCGGAATGATTAAGACTCCTCCCAAACTCCTCTGGCTTCACTGCTAAGCACGTTTCCAGAATCTCCAGTGAATACTGTTCCCTGTGCCAGCTGGAGGCTGCCTTATCTCTTACAGTAAGTTCACTATAAAACTTTCACAGAAAACTCTCAAAGTTTTGTTATGTGGATACACCCATTAACAATATAATAAGGGCTTTGAGAAACAATCTAAAAGAAACAAGTTACTACATAATATAGCAGATACATAAATACAGAATCAGGATTCTGTATTTAGATAATGCTGTTTCTAGAGAACACCTTGAGAGATTTCACTGGCAACTGTCTCAAGGTTATATGACTTCAAAAGAACATATGAAAAATAAATGCAAAGGTGAAGACATACTTCTCTCATTGTTGCTAAATGCACCACGGATGGATCCACCCACTCGCACCTCTCCATCTTGCAAATCTTCCAGCACAAGATCCCTCACTGGAATTGGCTGCCGGTAGAGCTGGTAGCAGAGCTGTTCATTATGGGTGATAGCTCGAGTAATTACCAGCACTTCTTGAAAGAGGAAGACATGTAGTTTCTGTTGAAAGTAATAAATAATAAAGAGCTATTCACTTTTTAGATTATTAAAACGGTAAACCAGGAAACAGCCTTTACTTCATCTATCAGTCTCAATCATGGCAAAAGACGATCCATCTATACACTGCATATGAACACACTACTCATAAGCACTCTCAGTGCTGAGAAAATCATTTAGAATTCTTCTGGAGTCTTAACAGAGTTCCTTTAGCTTTTCTGAGGGCAGTTAAGAAAAAAAAATCATTTTTTTTGTTCACTCCAAACTTTTTTTTTTTTAATTTGAACAAGGAAAAAAAAATCTGAATTGCTGATTTTTAGATTGCTAATATCTCCTAATCCAAGTTTTTTTTTCCTTTGAAAATGACACTTATGACACTTATCAATACTGAAAAACTCTAGAGCCTGGAAATTGTAGTACCACATTTCTCTGATCAATAAATTCACTTTGAACCTGTATCAAATAAGCAACTAAAACATGCTTATTAACCACAGCCTCTGACAAAACTAAAATCTGTTGGTAGATTTCTATATATTATTTATAGACATTACAATCACTTTTCTTAGACTGGGGATATGCATGTTAACAGACAGATAAATGGAAGTTTAATACCTCCAAATATAGAYATTAGACTGTTGACAAAAAGAGGTGTTGCAATAGTTAACATTTAATATTCATCAACTCCCTATAGAGATGATGTCTTTGTATATTACAACAACTTGCAATTACTCACAACGACATGTGAAATGAAGATGACAAAATATTTGTTTCTTACCACTCCCCTGTTATTCTTCAGTTCACCGTGGCAGCACACAACACGCGAATTATCAATCAGTGAGTCCCTTTGGCCGTCTTCAAGATAAATAAGTCTTTCTTTGTAGTATTGGCATTCAGATTCACCCGTCTTTATGTTGATTTCAGCCACTATACCCTGGATTATATTTATCTGTGGAAAAGCAGCATTGAAAATGCACAAGCTTTGATTTAATAGTCCAACATTCAGAGCTATTGTCCCCTAACTTAAACAGCAGCTGCAATAAATTTCATCTTAATTTACAGGCTACTTGTAATAAATTCTATGAAGGYTCTGTCTGTAACCATATGGTGCCTTTCTAAGGCACCTTCTGTTGGTTTCAGTCAAGTGCAATAGTGATCACAGCTTGTTTAGACTACTAGAATTCCTCAATTAATAGGAATTTATAGAGAATTCCTCTGTGAAATAAGGTGGTAGGGAGACAGGCTGAAACATAAAGTTAAACCTGTCCAGCCAAACAGATAATGATTCAAGTATCTACTGAACCAAGGAGATTCGTATCAGGGATCAGCCTGGCGTGAGACGCTTATAGCGCATTGCCAGGCAGGAAGAGGAAAGAGCTATATAAGCCTAAAACACTGCTCAGAGCTAACCACATGTAGTAATTTATGCTTCCTAATTTAACTTGGCAAATGTACAATTTATGAAATATATCACTTGAAAGATAAATAGTGTTCTGCTGAAAGAGAATACAACAAAGCTATATAAGGCTATTGAAATATCAAGAAAACTACCCTGATTGTGGTTTTTTTTTTTTTTTTAAACAATTGCCAAATATAAGCAAGTGCTGGAAGAAAACATTTAGTATATTTTTAAMGTTCTTATCAGACATTGTCTAGAAAAAAATGAGAAAAAAAGCAGAAGAATTCTTTAAGTTACATAGGCTTTTGTTTATAGACTTTTATACATTTGTTTCAAAAGAATATTTACGGGAGTAAAAAGTACAGATTATAAATAAATTTGAGCATCCAGACCTCATACAAACTCATATGCTCCCAGTTTACGCATCCTTCCAGTTTGTGTGTGTATATATATATATACACACACACACAGACTGCATTACTGGATTATACATATATGTATATATGCATATGTGGAAAAGGGAACAGAAAACTTGGAAAGCTATCAGAATATCTGAATCAGGTCTTTCTCCACTAATAAAGAAACTTAAAAAGCTTGGAATTTTTCMTTTGTTTTTACTTCAGACTGCAAAAGATGATTCAGAATAAGAAAGAAAATTATGTCCAACTTCAGCTACACTCTGCAGAAGATATTTAATCTAGATGCTGAAATTAGGTCAGGATTCAAACCAGAGAGTAAAACTCATCTAACTAACCTAAATCTTCAATATAAATCTCCATGTTACCCAGTATGAGATTATAATGGAAAATGACATTGACAGATAAATACAAGACATACAAGCACTAGATAAAAATTGTAGAAAAATACTACTACCACCACCCATTTTTGGTATAACTTTGCTGCTGAAATAGGACTTAACTGGGGGAGAGAAGCTCCATGCATAAGTTTCAGCTGTTCATAAATGCATTAGCATTTCCACAGTCTATGCAGTGTCCGTGAATTTATTAATCGGCATAATTTATGTGCTGTAAATCTCATAAAAAGCAGAAACTCACAGCTTCTTCAAGGTGCTGCTGATCTGGGTGATCATTTGGTGTATGTCTCAAAATCTCTCGGAGCAGTAAGGGGTACTTAACCAACCGGCTTCTTGGGATGTCAAGGAAATTCCAAAGGTCCAGCTTGCGACTAAACGGAGACTCTAAGCACCGCTGTAGGAAATCTTGCACTCTGTGATCTTGTTTTTTGTGATCCAGTAAAGCTTTGGCTGCTACTTGATTGCTGCAGTAACTATCGTAGGAGTTTAGGCAAGGAAGCTGAGGAAAGGAATAAATTATTCTGCAACTGAAACAGCTTTTTTGCTTCAATAGAGAGTTTCAAGTGATTCAAGATGTCCTGTAGAACTTCTGTTAGGAATCTACCTTTTGGAGAATTATCTGCAACTTATTGATAGCAATGTTTTTAGACTATGCTGAAGAGTTTACTACGGTATAAGATTTGTCCAGTTTTAGATCACAATAARCTGATCAAAGAGATCATCTTGTTTAATTAGAATTTAATACAAAGCATTTCCATAAATCAGATTTATGGTATAAAATGGCATACATGTCATCCTGCTTCCACGCAGAATTAAGCAAAACAATTTACCATCAAAACTTATTTAAAGTGGAATTTTAAACAAAATTTGTGCAAATCCTAAGAATGCAACAGTTATATGCTCCAATAAGCGGTAATTCCTACTAACTTTTATTGCTTCAAGTAACCAGAACACTTAACTGAATGGCTGATATCTTATTGAAGCTGACCCTGTAGTCCTTACTCTGCCAAATTTCCATGCTCATCTCAAGAAACTTGACCAAACTAAGACAGAAGAACCATGTCGTAAGTGTGAAAAAAATACTACCTTATATGTTGACTGGAACAACATACTTCTTTACAACTACTGCTATACTTAAAAGTATATGTAAAATCTTCTACAGAAGGAATTGGACTCAGACAGGAGAAGCTCACTTCGGTTCAAACACACCAGAAAATATATTTAAAATTCTATCTAATGAAAATGAGAGATAATTCTGTGATTTACCAGGTACCATTAACTATATGCATTGTGTACTAGAAGTCATGCAAGTCTCTTCACTTTACTAAAGGGTAGTGTTTTACATAGAGTTTCTAAATATATTACCTTATCCCTTAAAAATTGCAAGACTGATTTTTCGTGGTAAATTTAATTACTTACATATTCCACAGAAGAAACTTTTTATACTTATAAATCCTCCAGAAAAAGGTTTTTCTTTCATGCAATCAGTAATTTTATTAATGAACAAACTAAATCTGCTTTTCAGTGTTTATGTTGCTACTAAACTATGAACTTGGTGAGTTTTGTTTAGTCAGTGGGGCAGGAAGAGCTTCTCTTGTTACACTGCCTGTTTTCACAAACTTGTAGGAAATTATCTTTGACAGCTTGACTAGACCAGATCTGTAAGATGACTAGACCAGAAAATCATTCAAAGATGACAGCACTTACACATGGTGTAGGCTTAATTTCTCTAGGAAACCAGGATAAAAATAGGGGGATGCTATTTAAATGATAAATATCATWCTAACTCTGAAGTTCAGCCCTTGATTTTCATTTAGAGCAATTAAAAGCTGCTCATCTCCTGAATAGAACGAGGTTTTTCACATCCTACTCTAAGTCTTTTTATGGAAAGTGATCCAAAAGAAAAAAATATTTCATTATATCTCTAAACAGTTGCCTGATGAATGTAAAAGCTATGTTACAAATCAAAACTAAAAGTGATCAGAAAATCTGTCTTACCCAACCCACAAGAATATGGCCAACATGTTCTGTTGATCCATCAGACTTYCTGACTTCTTGAAGCCGCCTTAGAAGATCTGATGATAATTAAAAGAGAAGACAAACTTGACTTCCTGTACCAGAGGTATATAAACCCATATCAAATAACCAAGCAGAAAAAGAAGAGTTTTACCTTCATGTAGAGGAATTAAAGAGTCCAGTGTTCCAAAAATTTGGTTCAACTCTTGCTCTGTCATTATGGAAAGTTTAAGCATAGGGTCACGATATGCCTGCCAAAAAAAGAAATCAAGAGTTCCACAATTAAAATAATAATAGTAGCTGAAAAAACAGAAATAATATTTAAACCTCTCCAGAAATAAAACCATCAATATTGTTAAGAAATTTCAGAAAGCTTATCTTAAGCTTTCTAGTTAATATCTTTTAAAAAAAATTAAGTATCAAAACTATGTGGTTTCAGAAAGGGAAGGGAAAAAAAGATATATTTTTTTTTCTCTTCCTATCTTAGCAATTATGAAAAGAAATTACTATTTTAAAAGTGCTATGAACAACTGAATACTGAAGATGGGTAAGTGGTTAGTTTGCTTGTTTTTATACACGGACCTTTTTTGCTAACTTCAGATCTTCTATCAAGTCTTCTTCTCCCTGGGAGAGTTCAAATATAGCCTGTAAAGAGACACAAATATGATAAAATATCTCTATTTAAGTAATAATAAACTTTTAAAGGAGGTATTGCATTCCAAACAGCTTTTTGAATACTCTTYGGCAGAATTTCTATTGTTATAACTAATTGCAGGAATAAAGGAGGACTTATTTTGATAGATACAGAGTTTTGTGCAGTACATTTAAAAACATGGCTCTGCCAGATTGCTTACAAAATATTTACCAGAATTATCCAAAGTGATTTTTTTTCAGACTGATGCATTTCCAGAACAGGGAGCTATCCTTAGCATTATATTTTGAATGGACCATATCTTAACAACTTTAAAATAAATAAATAAATAAATGATTTGGCAGTTGGATAGATGATCTCTAGAAGTCCCTTCCAACTTCAAACATTCTGCAATTCTGGGAACAGAGTGACAAAGTTTCCAGGTTGTCTAACAAGTCAAAAGACAGATTATTATTAGAATATTTGTTTGGTAGGAATCACAGTTATCTTGGTACCATTTCATTTTGTTATGACTGCTTGTCAAAAGCCTCTCCTGTGCAATTTCTGTGCTGTTCCCTAGGCGTGCAAAGTGTTCCTTCCTTGTTCTGGTTTGACCTCAGTATCTATTCACTAAGTGTGAAAGTTGTCCTGGCTACACTCACTTCACAGCTGAACTATAACAGCGTAATATGTTTGGCCATATGACCATTAATGCTTAGGACTTTCCAACCATCTTTCAGTAATTTTTGAGAGCTTGGTAAAATTTGCTATTGCAAACACATTAAAATAGTGTTGTGGTTGTTACAATGACCTCTTAAAAACCTGCAAGTTATACTTAAATTCTTCAGCTAGGCTCTTAGAAAGTCTCAGGCTTGTCTTCAAGGCATTCTGTGGCCTGGACCCCTGGTATCTTAAAGATCAATTGCAGAAGTTACAGAGTGAAGATTATGATTGACAATTCCTCTGGTGAAACAGTAACTTAAACAATAGAAGTACTGATGATCTGTGCTGAAACATTCCTGAGGACTGCTCAGGATCATGAATGAACTCAAGCAAGCACCATGTATGTTGCAGAACACAATACCAGTTCTTTTAGCATAAAAATTATAATGACCAGGGATGGAATCCTGGTCCTACAGGAGGTGTTGATATTCCCTTAGATTTCAGTGAAGTTTCAGTGCTGTCCTCATGGTTACTGACATTACTCAACTCCACACTTTAAGGATGATTTTCCAAAGTGCATTTTGTAGTAAACAAAACCATACCTCTTGGCGCTTGATTTCTTTAGATGTAAGCATATGATTGACACAAACATCAAAGGTCTCGCTCCACAGTTTGCTGTCTCTTCGCTTGGTGTTAGCTGGAGGCATATTTCGAGACCACGGTCGTGGACTCAGCAGATCTGGGCGACTCTCACTACGGAAACTGATGGAACGCTAATAATAAGATAAAGATTTTGTTGTTAGAAAAGCTTCGCATAACGTTCCCAAAAGTGTTATACACATACATAAGTACAATGAACTAACTAACATCTAATTAGCTCTTACTGTGCTATTATAGCCATGTTTAATACTGGGAATGTAGGAAAAGTTATTTTAACATATCTTTCTGAAAGGCCAGTACATTCATTCCTGCAGTGACCCATGTCCATGTCCTGTTCTCAATGTATGTAAAACTAGACCATTCATATTCCATGCAACAAAAATGGTCTACTGGGATAATGGCAAAATGGTAAGAAACATCAACATAATTGAGCACAGAAATCAAGTTTCTTTTGGTAAAAAGTTGGACAGGAATAAGTCATGCATAGCACATACACACTTAAATATATTCCTAACACAAAACACTTTACAATTTTATACAAGTTTTAGAGGCAAAATTAGTATGAACAATTTTGGCTCTTTCAAAGAGAAGGATTCATTTATTAGATTTWAAAAAAAAAGCAGAAAGCCAGTAAAATTTGACAGATAAACTCATCTTGTGTATCAGCTGTAGAGTCCAATGTGCTTATCACAGTACCAAAAGGTTTTCTGTACATTGGAAAGGGACGTAAGTGCTCAGAGAAATCCACACAGTGGGTCGTGTGTTGAGAATATCAGATGAATTACCCAAACCCAACCTTATAAAAAAAAGCTGCTTCCTCAGTTGGGCAGAAAGAGTGGTCATAAAGGGAAACTGTCCTTCAAAACCACCTCTCCTTTCCCATTGTCAGTATCTTGCTAACTGATAGTAGCAAATTTTTTTTCCTTAAGCTTTTAGAATCATGAAAGATTCAAATGGTATTGCTATTCTAGAAAATGATAACCAGGATTAAATTTTTCACACTTGAACGTTGTGCCTGACCAAACTATTTTCATACTTCAAGCAACTCTTTCAACCAGTAACTTCCTGCCTCTTCAGATGCATCTTAAGAGCAAGAAACTAATATATATGGAAATATGTCAAAAGGATATGGCTGAAGAGAAAAGCACCATCACMTAATCTTTCAAGAAAAACTATCCCACTATTTAGTTTTTAAAGTTTATAACAAGCTATATTCATTTTGTACCACTTTGTTAGCACTTAAAGAAAATACATTAAACATTAAACACAATCAGTGCCAGCAAGTAACAAATGACAAAATACTACTATGGAAATTACTACAGTACATGAATACTTCTGCAGCTGCTGATCTGTGATAATGGTGATAATGTGTACCAGCACTTCTATATCTTTTATGTGACTTTTTACTCAAAAAAAAAAAAAAAAAAAAAAAAAAAAAAAAAAAAAAAAGACTTTTTACTGAAGTTAAAGTGAGACTTTTGAGAATTACAACTTCTATTTGCCTGTAGACTCTCAGCAAGGGTTCAGGCTAAAGATGGACAGTTAACACTCTCACTGCAATATTCTCAAAAGATTGTTTTTTGCTTCATTCAAAATCAAGTAGCTGCTTTATCAGATCCTACCTCTTGAATGCCTCAGGTACTCCAGATTGTTGAAATACTCTACATTTTGTTCTTATTTAAAACCTGTCTTACATAGCAGTCATTTTTCATTTGCCTTGGGTAAAAGCATTTAAAACACAAATTCTCTGCATTTCCAGGTTGAAATCATCATGTGCAAAGCAAAACAATTGAGATTCTCCTCCAAAGATAAGAACTCATGAGATGCAAATGGTGCTTGTAAAGGCAGAGTTTTTAAAATATCAAAGGACATACTACATAAACAAAACCAGCCTTTTTTAAAACAAAAGGCATTTTCAGTCCTCCTTGGTAGCTACCAAACACCTAAAATATACACAGGGACAAACTCCTAAAAAGTATATAAAAACGCATACATACATACACATACACACACAAACATATATATATATTTATGCACACACCAACCTTTCCAAACTTTGCAAATCAGATGCTAGTTTCCCTTCAAAGATTTAAGAGGATAAAGAAACACACATGAAATTATAGGCTTAATTTGTTCTTGTTATAACAGATGAATGATGAAATCAATTATTTTCACATGCAAATGGCCAGAGGCCATTCTGCAAAATGGCTTGTCAGAATCGACAAACTAATGCATTACCAGAAAACAGTTATTTATTGCTAACATCAATACTTGGTCCCTTGAGTGAGACAAACTTGAATCCACAATGCTGTAATGACCAGAATGTCAGAGACATAAACCATAAATAAAAGCATTCATTAAAATGCTCTGATAATCTAGGATAAACTTATATCATTGTAACCATCTCAATTCTACTGTTCAACCCATTCCCAAATTCATTTTCTGAGTGATTTTTAAGAACAAGTTTAAACATATTCTGATGTCACCCTTGATTGGTGCTTGCCACGCAGAAGAAATCACTGGAGTGATAAAAGTCTATTTAGGAAATGTAGAAATGGCAAAATAGCATTTCTACCTTTTCAGWCTCTTAAAAATGTTTATTAGTTATGGTGTCCTTGAAATACATRCTCAGGATGCTGTTTTTTTAAAAAAAAAAGTATATGCTTCCTTATAGTTCAGGTTTACTAAAATTTTCATATAGTTTCAAAAATTAGAGGACTAGAGAAAAACCAAGCTACAAACCCTACTTTTTGTTGACTGTATTTATTGGGCTGCAGTAGTTTCCACAGGCTAATACAGCACTGTAACTATGAAGTGTAACTTGTGTAACTGATATTAGATCATGCAATAAACCAACTGTAATTTCAGCTGCAGTAAAGCAAACAGATTTATGTCCTGTAAAAACAGACCAAGACATCAAAGTCCCAGCATTCAGAATTGATGTTAAAAAAAGAGTTTTCTTCTTAAGGATTCCTAGAATTTTGCAGAGTCCTAAAAAAAGATATATATATATGTTTGTGTGTGTGTGTGTATAAATATATATATATAAAAATAATTTGGACTCCATATTTAAACTCAAGATATATGAATGAAAACTGCTAAAATATTGAGTCAAAAAACATGTCTCTCTGTGGGTTGCTAAGTATCTTAGCAATAGAACTGTACTGAAACTCAGCCAGTGAGAAAGATTGATACTTAGCTTTCTTTTTAATTTGCAAGTATTATAAAAAAAGGGGAAAAAAAAAATCTTCCATGGGTCACCGTGACAGTCATGCCAATATAATAAAGTATTCATGCCAGGTATTTGCATAGAGGGGCAGTACAGATCGACAGAACCTCTGCTGCTACAGCAGAGCAGGGGGCCTTAAACAAGCACAGCAGCTGTTGAAGGCCGTGCAGGGCAAGTGCCGCGCTCAGAAGCGGTCACRCCAAGAATTAATTCACTTTCCACACTCCTCACAACTGGAAGTAATGCAGTCCTCCTTCCCGAGGCAGGCCAACTTTTGCTTACAGGCAGACTGCGGAGGAGATTTACCCACCTTGGGGAGCGCAGGCCTCTCTGCTGCAGTCCCGCTGCCCTGCGCGCCTGCCCCCAGGCGCCCAGCCAGCCCRCCCTCCCCGGCCCCAAAATGCCCTTTCCACAAGCAGATGGTTGCAAAACCAGGGGGTAGAACACAGGAAACAACATGTTAAATAAGCCCTGCAATATCAGCTTGCTAGGTAAACTCCCGCTCCGCAAAACCTTTTTCATGCCTTTATATATACTTTGCATAAGATTCCAGTTGTAAAGCAGCACCCCCCCCCTCCTTCTGATTAATGATAACATTACTAATGCTCTGATTGAGCTAATTTTGGTTAAGTAACCCTCTTAATAGATTCAAGATATTTTTGYGTTCCCCTTTTTTAAAGCAAATAACCTCGTTGCATAATTCTCCTCGGATTTTACACAAGCCTTTTTACTTGCTTTGTTTCAAACAGGAAACAGTGAAATGTTTCAGAGCTCCCTAGGCCAGGCCCACAGCAGCATCTGAGCCCTCCTTCACACTCCTCAGAACCAACAGGAGTTGAGCTGACCCACAGCTGGAAGTTTCTAGGCCTCAACATATGAGATACTTTACAAATTCAAAYCTCATTCATCTCTAAGTATATTAAATATTATACACTTAATAGGGAAATTGAAACTACAAAATGATTTAATTTCTAAATTGCACTTCATATTTGCTTCCTCTTAATTATTTTTATAATCAACTTTAGAAAATGGCTTTTAACAATTGGTCACTAAATCTTTTGTTTAAGGAAGGTCAAAATTCACAAGACAGAAAAATTTAGCAGTGCTATAATATTAACTATGTCATAAATAATAAAGAAACCAAGCAAAATTTAGAAAAGATGCATAAGAGAAAAATCTTGTTCTTCATTAAAATTTACATAACAATGGTCAYATTCCTTTAATAAAGTAACTTCTATATGTTATCATGTAATAGTTTTCTTCCTAGTAACCATGCATTATCTGGACAGAGACATGTTTTTTGAAATGAAAGTCTTAAGTTGAAAGCTGAYGGACTCCATAATTGTAAGCTACCTAACCTGTTCATTGCATTAGAGTAGTGCATGAGGCTATGTGTATTTGAAATAACTATAAATTACATTTCAGATATGAAAAATAATAAAGATGTATGGATTTCTTTACAAGTTTGCTGATCCTGACTGAATTCTCTGGCAATCACAATACTGAATATGCAACTATTTAGTAGGAAGTAAGAAATATAAACCACCTCATGACAATTATGGCAATCACACAGTTTTASCAGCAGCACTTGCATTTGTCAGTTCATGCCCTCACACACCTTTTGCTGTACCTTCTGTTGCAGGCGGGCATGAGGATTCTTTTTTGTTGTTTAAATAGACATATGTAAAACACCAATGATATACACTGTGCTTGTGCACTCACAACCCATATATGCCTGTATGAGCAGAATGGTTTCAAAAAAATAACTCTGGAATAAACTGTGAATAGTCAAGTATTCCTCTTGTTGAAATATGATTTAAAGCAGCRATACGTGGGCTGCTCTTACCTGAAGCGTCTGGCTGAAGCGCTTCAGGGGAGTGGTCCGTACGGGAGGAATGAGGCTTGCTAGCGACGTAACTCGGGAAAGAGGCTTCACCCGCTTGGTGCTCGGCTCCTGTGCCAGGGGGAGAAGCATCAGGCAGTGGAGGGAGGAAGAAAGGAGGGGGAGAGAAAAAAAAAAAAAAAAAAAAAAACAAGTGTAAGCATAACTTGATAAATACTGCTGCCGGTTCTGCTGATTTCTGTGAGAAAACATTATAAAAAGCAAGCTAGTAAGTCTGGTTTAATTGGAGTAGTGAACAATAGCAGTTTTTAATGCTGACAGTTAGGCATAACTTCTGATTGGTACATACAGATCTTGGACACGGTCAGAGCAGGGGGAAGAGACATAGGCAGCATCACACTGTTACACTAACTCRATTTTAAAATAGATTTTCAGCAGTGCTCTGCAGCTAATACATGTTATGATATTCTTGTCGCTGGAAGGAGTGCTTAAGAAAAAATCAATATATTTCTTTGCTTTCTAGCACTGTCAGCACATGCTTCTATATTCAGCTAGCTGTATTTCATTCTAGAAAATACCATTTAGACAAAAAAGTCTACTATTTTTAAGTATCCTTTGAGTGTTCCTATCTAAACATGATGAATATATTGATATGCTTACACACATTTTGTTTTAGCACAATAGCAAAATTGAAATCAACAAAAATCTACCATATAACATTTGCTTCTCTTTTCATCAAGACCTTTAACTGCTATCATGCCCCCTTTTAGCAATACATAATCACTTGAACATAATACAACAATATGCCAATTGTCCTGCAGATAAGAACAATATAAATATCAGAAGAAAAAAGTTATTGTAAGTACATAAAAATAGAACAGTTACCCTTGGCTTCCCAACCTCCATCTGACATTTAACGAATCTTGAACAGCACATGCAAAAGGCAACTTTTGACAGAAGAGCCAAACCTTCCAAGTGACATTAAAAAACCCATCCAACATCATATTTCAAGGACATCCTTAAAGGAGTTCATCTTYCTTTTTCAGCCATTTTTATCATGCTTGGGTAGGCTTCCAATGCCTCCAATTTCCTAAACACATCATTAAGAAAATGCACCACATCTATTATCCTCTTGTTCAGAAATGCAAATTCTTCTGTAAATAAATATTGTTCTGGTGCTGACCAAAAAAAAAAAAAAAAAAAAAAGAAAGAAAAAAGAAAAATCCAGCAGCAGCAATGATGGGGATCTGGGGGATCTGTGATCTGTACTACTGGCAAGAAAAATTCCCTCCTATGAGTAGAGCACAGGAAGGGTGAGAAGCAGCTACAAATTTAATCGACTTTTCTGCAGGCAGACTAGGAACTCTGCAAATGTCTCCTCAAACCAGGGACTAAGTGTTCAAGCCTGTGCCAAAAATATTGTATTCTTTCACACAGAAAACCTAGCATTAAGGCATTTTGGCAGCCTAGGTCTTGTTGCACCCTTCTCTTCAGCGTGGCACTGCAATCCATATTTCTTCCTTTTCAGCAACGCTCTCTTCCACGCGGGTTTGATGGAGCATTTTCTCTGCGGCACTGCGGCACCGCTGTGCACGTCCCTCGGCCAGGCCCCGGGGCTCCCGCTGGCTGCGAGCAGCCCGGCATCGGCCGCCGTCTCCTTTGCGGCTCTCGGCGCCAGTGCGGGCGCTCAGGCGGGCTGCTGTTCCTGCTCGGAACCCGGCCCGCAGTCCCGCGGGCGCCAGCGAGCGCTGCCCGCGCCGCGGCCCTTGCTAGCAACCTGTGCTCTACGTTAGCAGCAGAGCTTATTTGGGCATGACTTATTTCCAGCGTGACTGAGGCAAAACCTGGGATTCAAAGCTATAGGAACCTTCCCAAGAACAGGGAGAAGTGGATCATAAGAAAGAATTGTCTGCTTTATTGCTGTAGCCCTTCTGTTGCTGCTGTGCATATGGCCTCTGACTAAAAGTCCAAAGTGATTTAAAGTAGAGCCCAAACCATGCTTCATGCCCATACCTTGTTTGAAAGTTAAAAACTCCCGTCTGAAGGACCTTTCACACAAATGCTGTGATCTATTCACAGCTGCACAGAGTCTTTCCACGTAGCTCTTGCCCTGGCAGTCCAAAAATATGCGAAATCTACTGACAATAAATGAAATTATGAAAAAATATATATCCATAGGTCACTGCATTTCTGCAGCTTTTTGTTCAAGTGCACTGCAAAACTGCTGAGCACAAACAGCACCAGCTGTGAAAGGAGCCTATCCCCACTCGAACACTTTCACAGTTTGCATGTGCCTGCAGTTGAGTTTATTAATGCCTGCATGAAGCCTGCAATCTAAGCCCTCAGACCAGGACCTAATTTGCTCTGCCATGTGGGGCACATAAACCTCCTGCAGCTGTGAAAACTGATGCACAGCATCAAATAACCTGGAGAAGATTAGCCCAAGTCAAAAGAAGGGAAGTCACCTTTTTTTTTTTTTTTTTTTCTTTCTTTCCCTTGAGAGAGAGCAGGAAGGGAAGCAATGAGGTATGATTTTCCCTTTTTCATCTGAGATGGTCCGAGCAGTCTCTAGAGCATGTGTACGAACAGCTCTGCATTACCCCGGGTCCTGAGCAGATTGAGCACTTGCACATCAGGCCAGTAAGGTCAGGGGAATGTGTTCCAGGAGCTGCTTCCCAAATCTCTTAAAAACAAACAAGCAATAAACCTGCTGGTGGTTAGGAGTTTCTTACATGGGTGTTTCTTATTTTACTGTGATATCCTCTGTGAATATCCCTAGTCTCTTGGTTTACTCTTAATCTCRAAAAAGTCATAAAAACTTTGGGGGGATCCATCTAAGCACGTGGGAGCTCAGAAGAGCTGTGTGATACCAGTGTCAGTCCAGAGAAGGGAGGCTCCAGGAGGAACCTGTGCTCAAGATCTGCACCTCTGAGTGTGTGCCAAGGAGGCCGAGGCAGCGCCGGCCCTGATCCGCTCTCCTCCTTCCCACCTCTCCCCGCCAATTCAGCGAACTCGGATGCAGACGGCGTTCAGGGATGTAGAGGCTGGATTAATTTGCAACAAACTATTACCTCCCCAAGACTGGGATGTGGTCCAGGTTATGACAAAGAAAATTCAGGAGTTAGAATGGTTTGTCTGACCTTTTAAGCTTGTTACTTGTATTTAAAAAAAAAAAAGGCACTTCAGAGTTTTGAAATAAAGCTAAAGCTAAATGTCTTTCAGAGTGATGAAGGTTTCCTGAAACAGTAAGGGAAGCAAGTCRGAAAACAAAAGATCCAGACTACAGTTTGGCAAGGCTTCCAAAATGTGGTGCTGGAATATATGAACAAGTGATGTTAATCTAACAGTACTTTAAATTTGATATAGGGCTAAATAAAGCTGGGGGAAACATGAGTGCAGAAACTTCAAAGGCTAAGCAGTCAAGAGAAGTCAAATTAATACCTGACTAAGCTTGAACAAAGAGCAGATGGCTTTTGGAGGGAGTGGCATATTTGAACTCAAGATGACTTGGGTGAGATTTGCATATGTGAATTTAGTGAAGTGAAAATAAAAGTTGGAAAAGATGGAGTTTATACACACCTCTTCAGAGAGAGCTCTTGAAACTGGAAAAAAATGGAAAAACAAGCAATTCAATGTGTCCAAAATCTGGATGGTTCTGGAAAATATACAGTGGACATTTCAAATAGCTGCTATGTCCTTCTGACAGTATATTTATATCACATACTTTTCTGGGGAATTCACAGGAAGGCAGATTAGTACAACCGCAGTGGCATAACCAGCCAAAATCACAGAACTGAGAAAGGAAACCCTTAGCTAAGAAGCGAGTTTAAAGATGTCATGGCACATCACTCTTCCAGTTTGGCACGGAGGATGCAGTTCTCTAGAATTGCTTGCTTTAATTTATTCTGTGGATCCTATTTCTGTTTGCACTTGTATTTTTTTTTTTTTTTTTTTATCTTTTATGTATTAAGCTTGAACCTTAATTGCTCAACCCACTGAATAAGAAAGGAAACACTAGCTTTTAAAGTATAGCCTTAAAATCTCCAGAAATTACTATTCTACTGTTGGACTGCTGGGAAGTGCATCTAGCAAGCTATTTCAGCTGCAGTTCTACCAGAATGCCATGGAAAAACTTCTGCCCGCTTCTGCTACAGTCAAACACAAGTCATTTCTTTTCCCTGTGCAACTGAACATAAGTGCTGCTTTCTAAAGTTGTGATACGGTAATTTCAAAACAACAGCCTCCTAAAAGAAAGGGTTTCTTTTCTCCCCATCTCAATTTAATACATACAGACTACTATATAAAAGCCTGAATCTTAGCATTTAGTACCTGATTTTGGTACAGGAACATTCAACATGCACTGAAGCGCTTTAAAGCAGAAGACCCTTCCAAGGAGCAGGCACTTTCACCAGTTGCAATTTACTGACAGCTAATTTGATGTTATTGGCCTTTTTTTCTTTCATTAGTGAAACCAGCATCTAACTCAGTATGTAAGATTTAACAACATACACCACAGGCAGGGAAAGCTAGGAGCAATCAAAGGGAAAAGGCTAAGACTTTTCATGCTCTTCATGCACAAAGCAAACTGACTCTCTTACTAGTGTATACAGAAAGGGAACTTCCCCAAAGCTCCAAGCGCCTTGCTGTCAGAGCAAGCTAAATCCATTTAATAATATTGATTAGTTTTCTATACAGTGTCATTCCATAAGACCACCCACAGCTTAATCATCACAGTTTGATGGCTAAATTACTCTAGCTTGAGATTGATTTTAATTTTCTAATGTACAAAAAGAACGGAAACCAAGACCTACACCAGATTCCCTTTGGAGTATCTGCGAAGAACCAATGATCTGGCTAACACGGGCTGAAGGCTGCAGCAGCAGTGTAGGTGCCTATGACCGCTCTTCCTTTGCTCTAGTGCCTCCTGTCAAAGTGCTTTCTGCCTCTGCTTTTGACCAGCTGAACCACTGATTTCCTCTCAGGGAGCAGTAAAAGCAAGTCTACATCCACCAACAATTAATCATTTTTCCACCYGACCATCCCATCTCTTATCACCAACAGGCAACAAGTCAGAGAAGTGGTGCCGAATTGGACAAACAAGGGAAACTATT